AAGACGGAACTTCAGGTGAACGTAGAGAAGAAAGGGAGAATTCTAAAGGGATTTGGCTCTTTCACCTACCCACCTAGGCAGCATTGTCCCAACTACAGGTGGCGGCGGCACAGATGAGGATGTCAAAACCAGGATCGGAAAGACTGCAGGACAGGCCTTCCTTCATTATTCTGAACTTAGTCTGGAGATCTACTGTACTCCACTCACCATAAATAACAAAATCCGGATTCCCAACGCTAAGTCACCCAGGTAAGTCAGTGCTTCTATGTGATGGTTGAGAAACTTGACTCCCTACGAAAAGCATCTCCAACAAACTACAGGCATACATGAACACCTGTCACCTACGCTCACTCGATACTGAAGATCACATCAGAGGGCCAGAAAGAATGAGAAAGGAGGAACTCTGTTCTTGGTAGCGAACCAACGACGCAAGAAATTATTGCCCAACAAATTTGCAGAAGAATGTGGAGATGAACGGCATTGGGCATACACTGAGAAGACCATTTGGGGACACCAAGCACTGTCGAATGGAACCGAAGTTGGGAAGGACTAGTTTGGCGCCTGGGGTTGACATGGAGGAGATGGTGTGAGGAAGAAATGAGAGCTTGTGGGCTGTCGTGGAGCCAGATTGAGAAGAGTGGAGAGAAGAGAGTGAAATGGCGACGTGCTACTAAATCGGTATATTCCATTAGGAACCCAAGAGACAAATAATAATAATATTAATAACAACAACCCTAACGAGCTGATTGCTGACGAAATCTCACCTCGAATATAGACTGCCCATCTCGCAATACACAACTTGCGTCGTCTGTGGCACCGACTGGCGAGATATCCAATTATCTATAAGAGGACGAGTATACCCCACTTCAGTCTGTTATGTCCTCTTACATAGCTGGAAAACATGGACATTAAAAGTAGAAGAAGTGAAGTGATTACAGGGTTTTCAACACAAATTTACTCTTAGCATTGTTAGTGTTTGGTGAAATCATCGTGTGAGCAATGTTGTGGTTAGCCATCGGAACCCAGGCGAGTCGATTGATGAGGTTGTGAACCTACAGCGACTTAGCCACCACCTACCTCGACGTGCTCTGCTAGAGGATCCAATTCCGATTGTGTTGAAATAGGGTTGAGGGTGGCCAGATGAACACCTGCCACCAATCTATGAAATCTCTTACTATTGGTCTGAGCTATGTGGCTAGGTGTCGACTGACTAACTGGCGTCTTTGAGATGAGACGAATCGGTGACAATGGCGTGGATGTATCCACTCATTGACATCTTCTAAAGCTTGAATATTTTCACTAACCTTGATTTCTAAATTCCTTCTCTCACACCTTTGCCTACTTTGATATCATTGCTTTTTCTATCCACCAATTTGTAGACTTGTAGAAAAAGTGGAACCTTCCACACTCTCCTTCATGTCAATCATTGACTGAAATCATGTCATATTGTAGGTTGATTTGTGAAAGAAATGTCACCTCATTTCTTCTCACTAATGTCAACAGGTTTACTTTACTGCATGTCATGCAGGTATTGATGTGCACAAATCATCATCTGTGTTTTATATCCACTTAGCAGCAGATGACCTCTAGACGACTAAATGACAACAGTTTATTTTGTTGATTTTCTAGTTCTTTTTGACAAAATCAGTTGGTCAGTTTCATTGGTGGCTGTCTTGTTGTTATTGTTGTTTCGGGTGTACACCTTTATGGTTTACATATTCATTTTCAAAGTGTAAAAGTAAACTTCACTGACGACCAATCACGTTTGAGTATTCACTGACCAATCAGAATCGAGTATATGAAGGATGACATAAGTATTCACGAGGAATGAGGAATGATACACAAAACATTTGTTTATTTTGTTATTTGTTCTAAATGTAATAAATATGCCAGGGTTACACAAGTAGAATACACCTAATATCATGTCAATGGTAATTTATTTATACTTTATAAATCTGTTTCACATTTCGGAAATAAAGATTTTCAATCTTGATCTTCAACCATGCCATTGTTGTTCTGTACTGCCACTGATCTATATGAGACCATATCATAGTGAGTTTGTCGGTTTCAATGGCCCGTAAAGAATCCTGTTCAAGTTTCATGAGATGCCTTTCTCACATGATCACAGAGTGGAGATGTTAAATTCTCATTTCTTAGTGTTGCCTGTACCTCTTATGCTTTACTTACAATTTCTTGTACATTTCTGTATTTGTTTATGTGAATAATTATGAATAGTAAAGTTTCTTATTTCCTCCCTTAGATTTTCTGTTTCATCGGTGAATGCCTTATTCCCTACTGGAACCTTTCGCCATTCATTGTGTGTGTGTGTTGACATAGGATGAGTATAGAAACTAACATGATTAACCTGATAGAATGTAAAGTCGCATCATGATCAAAGGTACCATGAAAACAGACAAGATTTTATACATAAATCTTGACTTCAAAGGTGATTTCACTTCTGGTTCATCTTGAAAAGAAGAATTTTAACTGGCTAAAGAAACTTTCATCGCCTCAATCCTGAGGATTTTATTCTTCAGTCGTCTAATATGTCATGGCTATCTGAAAGATAAGGTTCCCTTACAGCGATGCTAAGTATATAGGTCGCTTGATACTCATTCGTTCCAAATGGGTTAGAGGAGATTACTCCGCCTAGCTGGAAACAGGTGCGAATGGATCCATCAGAAGTGCAATCAATGAACAACTTATCAACCGGCACTGGTCACAGCATCACAATTGATTCAGACATTTCCATCTTCTCTCTACTCCACAAGCTCTTACCATGTGCATAGATAAACTCGAGTTATGTGTATAAGAGAAACTTGTGAAATCTTTGTTACTACCTTGGACCTGGTAAATTGTTAACAATACATCGACCTCTATCTCTGTCTCTCTTATCATTCACAATCTTGTTGAATTTTGTGATATAGTTTAATAACTCAATATCGCGTCTTCATTTTGTTTCCATGCTTCCTCTTGATCATACTTTATCTTGAAATAGGATAAAATGATCCAACGTGTAAGTATCTATTCGATTGTGTGAATTTTCTGTACACAGACTACTTACTGTCCACCTTGTCTGGTTTTTACTCTGCAATCCAACATAGCAAGTTCCCTTTCCTCAGTGTCATTTACACATCTCTGGCATAGTTTAGGAGGAGAGCTAAGCATCCGAAGAGCTGTTTACCCCCCTCCCCTTCCGCCTCCCTCGCCACACCCAACTCCCCAAAGCATTACACTTCGAGTTTGTTGTGACCGTATTTCACAATATATGTTGTATGTGCATATATAAAATATATAAGCCTTCAAGTGTCAAAATCCCTTTGTTTCTGGCATTTCACAGGTCTCACTTATGTCATCTATACATTCTCTTCTTAGACAATTCAAACAAATAGTCAGTCGATAGTTTCACAGATTGGTTCTATGCTTATGTCTAATCGTTAATGACCTGCAACAAAGTAATACCAGCATTATACATTCGAGTAGTAGACAATGACTCTTTATGTGTAACAAGTTGGAAACACTTCAGTTGATGTAGGATCTTACAAATTTATCAGTTGATTGATTTGCCTTTCCTATAACTTTACATGTAATCTGAATCATATTCAGTCAGTAGTAACCAATGCTTCAAAACCATTCGTCTTTTATTTTGAAAATTATTTGCCTTTTCGGTTCTTAGTGGAACATAGGGCTTCAGTAGGACATCACCATTGCACTCTCTTCTCTGTAATCTTTTGAACCTGGTTCCACGACTGCCCACAAGTTCTAATTTCTTCCTCACACCATCTCCTCCATGTTACCCTCAGTTGGGACGCCCAACTCGTCGTTTCCCATTTGTGTTCCACTCGACGGCCTGATCTGGTGCGTGATGTCCTCAAATGGTCTTCTCAGTGTATGCCCAATGCAATCCATTCCCACTTTCTTCTTCTACATATATGTTGAGTGATAGGTTCTTGCTTCGTTGGTTCGTCGCCAGGCCACTTCCTCCTTGCTTCTCCTTTCTCGCTTTCTCAGCTGATCTTCAGTATCGGGTGAGTGTAGGCGGCAGCTGTTGATGAATGTCTGTAGTTTGTTGGAAATGCCTTTCTTCAGATACCTTCACTTATCACCGACATTTTCAGATGGTAGTTTCGACTCTGTGCTTGCTGTATGCTAGTTGGTTGAATGCAATTGGCAGTAAGCCTTGGACCCTTGTTTGTTGCTTTTTGGCACTCGTCAGTAAGGCGCATATGCAACCTTGATGGAACTAATGTCCCGCCTGAAATTCGAACCCTTGTCACCCAGTCTTGTAGTCAGTCAACTAACTAATATCTACTAATGTGTACCGCGATGCTGAGCTTCCTAGCTTGGCTGTCACATTGTAAATATGATCGATAGATTTCGGTCTGCACTCAGGACTAGACAACATGAAATTGGTTTCACTCTCGTGACCAATCGATATATGTATGCTAGTGTATGTGATTCCTATGAATACATTTCGTTCTGCCTTCTATATTCATGTCTCATAATGGTTGAACATGCTAGAATGATATGTCATAGAGCATATTTAGGCAGCTGTCTATCACTATAATTGGTATCATTTGTCTGTATACTGAAGAGTTATTTATGTTCAATTCAAGATTTCACAGGTGTAAGTCGAATGCTAAATATCATGACATCTTCAGTTAAGTTCTTCAAAACACCTCGCACCTTGTCTATATTTCCACGTAGCAGAACTATATCGTGTGCATATTTTGGTTAGATTAACCTATCTCTGGGTTCGATGAAGCTCCTTAAGGAGATAAGCTTCAACAGATAGGCCACGGGTTCGAACTCTACTCCACTTATCGAAGTGGTTTGGGCAGTTAGGTAGTTTCATTAGCCCTCATACAATAAGTGTATGGCTCATTGCTATCGATTGTATGAATGTGTACAAAATGGCTGAAGTGAATTTCGTTTCACTTCCTCGGGTTCGAGTGCTTACCAATTACATTTATACACATATATGTATATCTAATCTTTAGAACCGTCTCAAGCTCAATCGATTGATAATCATCGTTCTGAATTACGCTTGTATCACAACTTAATGGTTCAACAGGTGAAAGAAATTCAAAGCAAATTGAAAGAAGGAACAATACCAGATATGAATGTAAGTTTTTATTTCGTATTCGTATTGGTGACCAGTACTACGATTCAAGATATGCGTTTCGTTCTAATTTTGGACTCATCAGCTGGATGTACTTACTCTTCAGTGAGGAGTAATGTTGTCCCTACTGAGGCTGAAATCCAGTACCGATTAGTTTGAACGCTTAAGTTTATTTTGTTGATAAATTATTCAGATAAATTATATTCTGTTCTGTTTTTTGTCATCAGCTTGGATGCCTAAACTTTAAACCTCACAGGGCTGAAACTCAACTCCCCTACCTGCTTTGTTTTGAACACAACCTTTTCCAGGTTGTGAAAGAGAGTCAACAGTTGAACAATAACCTTCAGATTCAGCCGCTTGGTCGCTTAGTTCCTCGGTAATTGAAAAGGGTAACAAAAGGATAATAAAAGCTGTATGACATCGTGGAACTATATAGAAAATACAACACTTTACATATACTTACAATAGCCTTGGCTATTTGTAGACTTTTCTCTCTTCATTTTAGGGGTTTGTGAAGATTTATTGATTCCAAGTTGGTATTCATCATCGATTGACATTAGTTAGAGAAATGTTGAGAATTTGGGAGCACTGGAAGACTGTTTTATCGCAGTATAGGGACTCTTCAGCTGTGCGCGCCTATGACCATACCTTGCCAGGGGATCGAACTTTCAGATCCCGTGGCTACCACGTTACCATTGAGCTCGTCGTTGAATCGAAATCCAATTCTCCATATTTCATACTTCTATTAGTCCTACTGTCCAATTTTATCATTGACTGTTTGTCGTTACGGCCACCAGGTTTGCCCGACCGGTCACAACGTGTCATTGGGACTTAAGGAATCACCTCTGAGTTATGAACTGACAAAAGTTGTAAATATAAACCTAGTAGATCGAGTTGTAACGTGCTTTCCACAGAAAACCTGAAGGTCCAGGATTCGATCCCTTCTGGGGTGAAGTCATGAGTATTCACTAGGACGAAATAGCTGTCCAATGCTCCCAGGTTTCTAAATTTTTCTTTTTAACCAGTCTGATATTTACACACACTTTTATATGCTTTTTATGAAGATCTGGACAATCTTATCGCATACTATAACTATTAGAGATAACGTCTAGGTGACTGATACTTTATTGTAGAGTTTCAGTCGGGTCCCTTTTTAGCGTTTTCTGTCTTTATCCAATTTTATTTTACCTTATGCCTCAAAGTACTCGATAACCAAGTGTGTTGAATCTAGAATGAAACCACTTTAAATAATGAAGACATATAAACCTTATCGATTTATTTACCTGTTTGGAGGTAAGAAGACTTAGGGATTTCTTGAATTTATACTGTCTCAGTGAGCATTTAATCTAATACACAGACTAATTTGGCGGTTGTATAAGTGAACTTTATTGCAACACTCAGTTTATGCTCATCTTTGTGGTAATTTCATCTCCTTTAAAGGTAAGGTGTAGATAGATAGACTATACTGAACTTACATCTCTTCTCTTCTGTCCTAATGTACTTCTTAGTGAACTTTTATGGGTAAGTAATTTTTGTGTAGACAGTTTTCGACAAAAGTTAGTTCTCTTCCACAACATTTTTTTTTCAGAATATAATTTACGCGTAAGATTGAAAAGTGTTTTTATCAGACTATTTTTATAATTGAATAGGAAAAAGTTGTAGAAGTATAAATGAAACCCATTCTATATGGCTTTACGATGAATGGATCTATGAATGTTTCCATTTGTATTATACTGTAAGCCGACGTCTATGAGGTGAAATTTGTTCCATGACCCCACTTTTCAAGGACCTTCAAGTTTCGCGGCCAACATATTACTATGAAGACATTGAGTCGAAATTCAATCCAGTCATGCTTTTAGTTTCCATTGTAAATGTTATATTTGGGTGGGCTTCATTAAAAGTACTCGATAAATCAGAGACATCTTCATCATTATTGTATACCGAGGAAACATTGAAGTTTCTTTGATGAATCAAGTTCGCTGTACTGTAAGAGGGCATCAGTTGTATCGTTAAGAGGTTTTATACCTTGGGCTTCTGTGTAATGTCCTAGAAACTCTAACGAAGGTATCCCAAAGATGCACTGATTAGGATGAATAACTACCCCATATTGCTAAAAACGTTCGAACAAAATGGTAAGGTGTTCGAATTATTCTTCCTGAGAAGACAAATACGAAATCGAGACCTTGCGTAACCTGAACTATGAATCGTTGGAACGTTTGGGCTGCGCTTTTGAGTCCAAATGGCATCCGGAGAAACTGAAACAATCCGAAAGGAATTATTATTGCCGTTTTTCCGATGTCTTTCGGTGCAACAGGTATTTGATGGTATGCCCGAACTAAGTCCACCTTTGAGAATATGTTTTTCGCATGCAACGTGAGGAGAAAATCGTGTAGGTGGGGGGATGAGGTTGCGATCAAAAACGGTTGCGTTATTCAAAGCACGATAGTCATCACATGGACACTAATCGTGATCCTTCTTTGCCGACATGTGCACCGGCTAAACCCAAGCGCTGTTGGATGGCCGTATCATACTCAGCTGCATCATATGTTCAAATTCAGCTTCGACGGCGGCTAACTTATCAAATGGTAGACGTCGGGGTCGTACACGGACGGGTTGACCTTTGGTGATGTGATCTTATGCACTGTTGTGTGGCGTACTTCATCGGTATGCTAGCTGGGTTTCACTATGCTTGGGAAGTTCCGGAGTGCTTTCTACACTCACTTCGGACAGAAGTTCACAATTCCAGTCAACATTATTCCAAGAGTTTACTCAACTCCTCGGAGTACATCATATACAAACCACAGCTTACCATCCAGCAGCAAATGATCTGGTGGAGAGATTTCACTGTCAACATACTTTATGAAGAATATTGTTTGGTCAACTGCACATTTCAGTTTCGTTTGTTCTCAACTCCGAATGAGGATATCAGCGAAGATCGTGGCCAGTGGGCTGCCCATAGTGACTCCATTGATTTAGCAGTACGGGGTGTTATTGAATTGAAAGTGAACATTCTTTGTAGACATCAGTAGAAGCTGTTTGAATTCATATTCTGGAAATGGAAGTAGTTCTGAACACAGAGACATGATATCTACTATCTCTTCAAGTGATATCTTTGTAAATAAGGATGATACATGCCAAAAAACCCATGAATCTCTGAGAGATATTAAGGTCCTTCACCATTTCTGTAAATTTATAAGTCTCTTATAGACTGCGAACTGCCAGTTTTGTGCAAATCGATTCTAAATGTTTTGCCAACCATCAGGGGAGGTTGTGAAATGATGAGTTGACCATTGAAAGTATTGGTCTCATCTGGAGATTAGCTTTGTGTACTTTCTACAGGCCATACAAATATAGTAACCAAGATCCACGAGGTTTAGGCTCATTGTAGGTTACCATGTGTATTAACTTCCTCTCCAAAAGTTCTTCCAACTTTCTTGTCACCCGTCTTTCTGCTGACTCTGTGGTGTCTTTCTTCATATGATCAGTTAGAAATCTTGATGACTCATCGAGGATTCACCTATTTTTCTCTGTCGATGATGAAAACATCACTCATTGTCTTTGTTCGGTAGAAGAATTTTTTAATTTCGGAAACCGCGAAGGGATATATTGATTAGGAATATCAAGGAGCTGGGATTGAAACCAACCTGGGTTCGATCTCTGGTGGGGGTCATGAATGGGCACTGCTGAGGAGTCACATATTAGGACGTAAACAGCTGTCCAGTACTTTTAGGTCTCGAATGTTTCCCCTCAGCTGATGTCAGTCAATGATGAAAACCAACTTGAAATCAATGAATTCCCACAAAACCCGCACAAAAATGGATTGAGACCAACCTTGTTTCTCATCATCTAAAGGGTTTCAACTGGTTGTATAGATTGTTGAATACTGGATCTCTGTTACACTTCTCTTAAGGTATGTGGAATTTGAATCCAAGTGATGAAATTGCTTCCTCTTCGATTCGATTCAGTTTTAAGGTGTGTATACACTTCTTAAGATGTCTAGGAATACCATGGCCTAAGTTTTTTTACGAAAGTTCTAGATGACATTTTCGTGTGTTTAGTATACAATTTAGAATGGGCTGTGAAACATGACTATTAAAGGTAAAGGATGAGATAAGGTTTCTGGTATTTGACCACTGATATCTTAGTACCGCATACCGTCGTATATTGTGGTGTCAGTAACTCAGGAATCAGGTGTAGAGTTTTATAGAGGAGAGAAAAGTTAGTTAATGGTGGGGTTGTGAGCCGTCATCGATTGGTGATTGGTACATGTGTTACACTCGACTGCTTCGTTTCATAATCTTGGCTAAAGTAGGTTCAGGCTTTAAAAAACGGCTCGGAGCGATCAGACTAAAACATGGCAATTAATGGTCTGAGCCATGTTGGGAGATCTAGACTAGCCGTCTGGGATTCGCATGACGACAGAACCTAGTGGTTGGAGATTGACTCTATGTGATATGGCCGAGAAACGATGTCAGTGGTGCAAATGTTCACACACATTTACCTCATCTTAACTACTATACTTAATCTATTCGTTTTCTCATCCCTCCCTCCTCTCCTTTACTGTCTTCTACTCCTTTTGACAAATTTTTCTTTCCTTCTTCATCTTCCATTTTATTAAATTTGGGAGTTTGTTAGGGATTTAAAGACTTTTCAAGTTGGAATTCATCATCGACTAAAATCAGTTGAGGGAACATTGGAAATCTGGGAGCACTGAACAGCTGATGCGTTATAGTATGCGACCCCTCAGCAATGCGCACCCATGACCCCAGTCTGCCAAGGATCGAACCCATGACCTTCAGGTTCTATGGCCAGCACGTTACCATTGACCGACTAGATCGGAATCCAGTAGATCATATTTCCTATTCCTATCAGTTCACGACGTAGTGCGACTGCCACCCAATGTTATAGTTGAGTATCTGTCCTCTCGGGCACCATGTTTGCCCCACTGATCACGACTTGTCATTGGAACTTCAGTAATCATCTCTCGAAGCTAGTCACTAATGAGCACTAATTCAACTGAATTTGGGGGTTTGTGGGGAATTATATTTAGAATTGAACTTAAAATGTTTCTAACTCCCCACAGCTCCCTCAAAATTTAATTGAACTGGTGCTCATTGGTGACTAGCTTCGAGAGGTATTCCCGAAGTTCCAATGAGAAGTCGTGACCGGTGGAAGCAAAGCCTGATGGTCGTGAGGACAGTTACTCAACGATGATATTGGGTGGCAGTTACGCTATATCGTAAGCTAACAGAAGTTGTAAATATAGATGATTGGATTCTGACCCAGTGGCTAGCTCAATGGTAACGTGCTGGCCATGGGACCTGAAGGTCGCAGGTGCGCACTGCTGAGGAGTCCCGTACTAGGACGAAATAGCTGTTTTAGTGCTCCCAGGTTTCCTTTGTTCCTCCAACTGATGTCAGTGTACGATGAATAACAACTTGAAACATTTAGAATTGACAGAAGTTGGAAATATGGACCATTGGATTGCGACCCAGTAGCTAGCTCGGTAGTAACTTGCTGGCCATGGAACCTGAAGGTCGCGGGTTCGATCCTTGGTGAGGTGGTGGGTGCACACTGCTGAAGAGTTCCATGCCAAGAGGAAACAGTTGTCCAGTGCTTGCAGGTTTCCAATCTTTCCCTAAGTGATATCAGTCAGCACATGATGAATACTAACTTGAAAAATTCCATTTTATTACCTTGTTACTCGATGTGTTGGTATGAAATGTGGCAAGTTTCAGCGTTACATAGGAATATCTGATCCTTTGTTGATATTTTTCAATGGAATGGTCTATAGAATTTATAACTGTCATTGTAGTATACAGTTTAGATTCAACATAAAAAATGAATCACACAACAAGCCAATTATTGACATTTGAAGCGATAGCTCCCGTGTCCGAGTCCTGGTGGGAACAACATCACTCACTGGGAGGCAGGTTCATCCAGCTGACGAGTCCCAAATAAGAGGAAATGTGCATCTTAGATTCCACTGCTAGCCACTGCCCATCGAATAGTATGAATTATTGATATGTTTATTTCAAGCATCTGTTGAATATACCCTTCAGGGAAAATGAATGATGTAATTCGATTTTTATTGTTTATTTTCCTTCTACTATTATTTCATTAGCGTATTGATGAATTGACTGGTATGTTAAATGCATCATGTTCAACTTTTTTAATTACTCTCGATGAACTCATGATTTTGAGTAATGCACAAGCACCATGGTTGAGTTCAATTGTGACAGGAACAAATTTTGAGTCAAATTCTACAGCATATCGAAATACAACAATGAACACAGATTTCTCTGGTCCATGTTCACCAAATATGAATTATACATCGAATAATATGATAACGTAAGCTTTAATGTTATTTGTCTATTGAATAACTTTTAACCTTGTAGGGGGGTGGTGAACTTTTTGTTTCAATTAGGGTAGATCCATCACCTCATTGAGATGGGGAACGCTTCTTGCACATCAACACTTGAAACACTAGAGAGAATCATAAGAACCAGTTTTTGTATAATATGATGCAAACGATAGATAAATTCAGAAGTCAGCATAAGATTTCATAGACAATTGCATCATCTCAAGTTGTATAGAAAGAAGAAGGGGTTAGGTAGATAAATATGTGATAATCATAAATATCTTCCAATTATTGCTTCCTATTGTCTTGTGAATCTCTCTTCTCTATGAAGGCAGATATATCTTGCTGATAAATCCTAAACAGGACGAAATACATATCTTGGAACCTCACTATTAATCATTATCCATCAATTGATAACACAAATATTGAGGCATCCGTACAGAAGTTCATATTGTAATAGTCAAGAATGGAATATTCCAAGCTTTAATTTCCAAACTAAATTTCATTATGTAAAAATATAACTTTCTGACAATGTTTCACGACTTCATGGAAGTCGTTTCTTCAGAGAATAAAACTTGTACAAGTTGTTGACTCTTCAAATAGTAAACGATAGTGAATCAGATCATATTGTCGTCTATACATGATAATCATATGAAGTATTTCAAGTTGTTATTCATCGTTGACTGACATCATCACTTGGGGGAACAAAGGAAACCTTGAAGCACTGAACGGCTGTTTCGTCCTAGTATAGGACTCCTCAGCAGTGCGCACCCACGACCCCGCACCACCAAGGAGCGAACCCGTAACCTTCAGGTTCCGTGGCCAGCACGTTACCATTGAGCTAGCCACTGGGTCAGAATCCAATGGTCCATGTTTTTAACTTATGTTAGCTCACGATAATGTGAAGATTGTTATGTTGGTCAGGAAGCGTTTATAATTTGTCTTTCTTGTCTGTTATCACTCTGGAATTCATGGTGGTGTGACTATGTCCACATGTAATTGATTACGTGTGAATGTGTATAAGCGTGATACTAGGGATGACAAATTCGGTTTGTGTGTGTGTGTGTGTGCGTATGTATGCCCTTTTCTTCGTTGAATGCAGCATGTTGCTTTTGGAAATACTCTCCATGTTGGTAGGATAGTTAGGTCTTCCTCACTCTGTTCACTGAGTCCACTAGAATTCAACATGATGTGAAATGCTTCAACTATTCTTCGGGTGACTTTAAACATCATCCTACCAACGATCGAAATAACCAATTAGGTTTGTACATATCGGGCTGTCAAGGCAGATTTTCATAAAATACACAAGTTTGATTGGTTATTTCAATAGTTGTTAGGGTGGCCTTTCAAGTCAGTCTATTCTTCCTCTTTCTTTGTAGTTTGAAAAACCTTTTCGAATAATTTTTACTATTTTCAATATCCATTTTGTAACTGTGATAGATGATAGATGATGGTATGAACTGAGGTTGCCAACTTGATTTGTGAAATTGTCTAGTTCAATAGGATTATTTGGTGGTGGTTTTGTGTAACTTGCGTGTTCTTTAACCCGAATGACGATTTCACGGGATGATTCTCCATTAATGATAGGCATCACAGTCGACATGGCCTAATTTATCATTTGACTGACTATCTGAAACAGCCGTAATTTGGCAAACTAGTGTTTATACTGAGTGATGATTGTACCATAGCCGGTTCCGAGCCAGCGACCACCAGGTTACTGGACCGATGCTCTACCAACTGAGCTACGAGGTTCGACTGCTGTCCAGCCTAATTTGTAGACACAATTCTGTGTTAAGGTGAAATGGAATTTTATCTTCCAAGCGGACTGAAGCATTTCTGAGAGTGCCTACTTGTCTTGTAAAAGGCTTCAGTTCGGTGCTTCCTTCAGATTCTCTGTAGCTGTTCAGTTGTACCTTGGCAAAATGTCCTAATCCAAGAATCATCATTTTAATTCGCTCTTCGATCCTTCTGCTGATACTTCCTAATACTTTTGAATAACATTCAGTGAGAGTAGGGTAGTTATTGGAACAACATAACAATGTCCATAGTGTGTTATCATGTATGGACGACAATGTGATCTGATTCATCACTATTCACCATTTATACAATCGATAACTTGTATGGGGTTTATTCTCTGAAGAAGCGATTTCCTTAAAATCTTGGAACGTCACAAATGTATCATTCTACTTTATTTACCCCAATCCTCAACTTATTCAACTCTATCACGTCAAGTTTACATCCTGATGTCTAATAATATTTCATGATGTATTTCCAAAATGTGTAATTGTATATCACATCCTCTGATCATTTATTATATATTTATTTGTCCCTCGGGTTGCTAGTGGAACATGGGGATTCAGTGGGACATCTCCATTTCACTCTCTTCTCTGAAATCTTTTCAACCTGGCTCCACGACAGCCTACAACCTCTCATATCTTCCTCACACCATCTCCTCCATGTCACCCTCAGTTGGGACGCCCAACTCATGTTTTCCTATCTGGGTTCCACTCGAGTGCCTGGCCTCGTGCATGATATCCCCCACTGGCCTTCTCAGTGTATGCCCAATCCATCCCCACTTTCTTCTTCTACATATATGTTTGGTGATAGGTTATTGCTTGATTGGTTCGTTACCAGCCAGCCAGAGTTCCTTGTTACTTATTCTTGTTATTTTGGCCATCTGAGCTTCAGTAATGAGGAAGCGTAGGCAGTTGTTGATGAATGTGTGTAGTTTGTTGGAAATGCTTTTCGTAACGCACCAAGTCTCTGAGGTATAGAGAAGCACTGACTTGATTGAGGTTGGTGTTGAAAATGAGGATGTTGTTCACGCACGCATTATGCTGAGTGGAGTGGAGTGCAGTGCAGAAGATCTACACATTGGTTTGAGGTTAATGAAGTAAGGCCTGTCTTGCTGTATTTCTGATCCTGGCTATTTTGACGTCCTTGTCTGTGCCTGTTCCGCTTGTAATTGAAACGATTCTGCCTTGCCTAGGTAGGTGAAGAAGGCTACTTCCTTTAAGTTTCTCCCGTTGATGGTGATTGGAGTTCGTTGTTGTTGATGGTGGTGGTATTGGTTGAGTATCTTCATCACCTGTGTCTTCTCTACGTTCATTGAAGGGAGTGTCGTCTTCGCTGCCCTGCCCTGCCGTGCCCTGTTTCTTCTTTCAACTTGTTAGTTTTTGCTTGTAGATCTTCGAGTTTGTATGACATTAGACACAAGTCATCATTGGCGAAATCGAAATCTTCTATGATCTTTTCCGCGGTCCAGTCAGCGTATGCCCGTCTTCTCGCTCCTCACAGTTTGTTGCATGATCCAGTCAACCACAATCAGTAAGATCATCGGTGATAGTAGACAGCCTTGTCTTACTCCTATCCTCGCATCATAATATGCCTTCATGTTATAGACGATGGAATCATTTCTTTGTGATAGGCTTTTCAACTTCAGTCTCAGCGACTTATTTGAAAATCTTTGGTCAACAAATCTCTCATTTTTACTAACATCTTACTATCTAACTCTATTTCAATATTCAATAGGTCAAAGTATAGAAGATTAGTTCCAGCAGGTTAGCTAATTATTCCTACCCCACAACTACTCAAGCCGTCGTACGCATGACTTGTTGTCTCAATAAAATGTCAACCACTTTGGGGAAGAGGAAAGTTGGTTTGAAAACATCATCCATACAAATCATACTTAATATTGAATTTGGGGGTGGGTTGTGGGGATTTAGCGATTTCTCAAATTGGTATTCATCATGGATTGACATCAGTTGCGGGAACATTGGAGACTTGGGAGCACTGAAAAACTGTTTTGTCCTGCTATGAGACTCCTCAGCAGTCTGCACCCATAACCCCAACACAGCACGGACCGAACCCTTGGCTTTCAGGTTCCATGGACAGCAAGTTACCATTGAGCCAGCCAGTAGGTCGGAATCCAGTGGTCCATATTTCTTACTTCTATCAGTCCACTGTGTAACGCGATCTCCATCCAATGTCACCACGTTCACCATGTTTACCCCACTGATCACGACTTCTAGCTGGAACTTCTGGAATAACCTGTGAATCGTGAACTAACAGAAGTTAGGAAAATGGACCTAGTAGCTCAATTGTAACATGCTTTTTACGGACCTGAGGGTCCTGTGTTCGATCCTTGGCAGGCTTGGGTCATGGGTTCGCACTGCTGAGTAGTTCCATACTAGAACGAAGCAGCTTTCCATTTCTCCCAGGTCTCGAATATTCTCTCAACCGATGTCGGTCGATGACGAATACCAACTTGAAAAATACTTAATACGGTTGAAACGTGAGTATCCTGAAGTCATTTCGTGTATGAGCCACAGCTATACATTACCAGATATGAAGTGATTCCCTGCTAAATGAGATATTTGAGTGGTTCCCACTTCCTAGCTGCCTATACCGTTACTTTAGAAGGAAAGCGGATAAATATGAATGACCTAATGACTTAGTAGACATGGGTACAAAGTTTGATGGGAAATTGTTTGACATTGTCCACATATAGTGTTTCGTCTATGAAGTTATGAAATTACGATTCTAAGAATAAGTTTCTCTGGCTAGTACAACTACAGCTACTGGTGGCCAACATTTGATTCAGTCTACCGTAAGGTGTTGTTGCAGTGTCTGGTTGTGGAAGGAGTACTGAGCAAATGTATACTGCTTATTAAAACTCTCTACTCGAACTCACGCAGTTGTATAAGGGTTTATGGAGAGTTGTCAAATGAGTTGACAACAACGAGTGGTTTCCGACAGGGATACTCACTGTTACCGTTCCTGTTCAGCTTCGTTATCGAAATATTAATGGATATAACCTAGGGTATGTCTGACTTATCAGGGATTAACCTTCTACCTGAAACTCATCTAGTTGACTTGGGGTACGCAGATGATGTTGTCCTGTTAGGTGAGAACATTGACAAAATACTGAAATCTGAGTATGTTTCTCTGTCATGCGTTTCGCACTTGTCAAATGTAAGATGATGCTCTA